TTATTTGTGTTCTTCACAACCCCGGCTTTGTTCTAAACATGGCGTTCAGACATCTAGCTAGCCCTGAAGTCGAGTAGTTCAGGTTAATATACAATCATATGCAACCCAAGGTCCAAATTCCAAACGCATCAGACCCTAAGCAATGAGAGGAAAAAAGGCCTTTCTTCAACATCCTCAACAGTGAAAGCTTCAGTCTGAGGATTAATAGAGAGAAGCTCAGTTCACCCTACCTGGCATCAACCTGCCTCGCTGTAATGATTCATTTATAGCCCTGTTCCTTACTGTAAATCATGATAAACAGCTAAATAATACTAGATAAACAGGCAATCTAAAAGGATTGATTACTGTTGATTAGTTTAAGACAGAGGAAAAAAAAATCTTATACTTGATTTTGATAATTCCATACAGCAAGAAGCAATTTCCAATTAATTCCAAGCCTCACTTTACAACAGCTTGTCTCCTGTTCCTGAAATTTTAAAGAAAAGTACATGGTTTCAACAGTGCCATCTAACACACACAAAAAAAAGGTTTTAAGGCTTTTCTATTCGTGCCCCTTGGAATGAAAGGAAAAAATACATACGTTAATGTAACTGATTAAGCAAAACCAGTATGTCTGAAATCAGACTTCATACTGCCACTGTTAATATTCCTCTCGGGTACCGGGTGCAGCCACAAGCTAAACCTGAAACAGCCTATAGCTAGATTTCAGGTTCTCTAGGAAGACCGTACAGCATTAAAATTTATTGAATGCAGTACTTACTCCGTGTCTGTTCACTCAATATACAGTCCCGGAATTATCCACAAGAGGTATGATGAAGCATAACATTCATCTTAAACTCTTAATACACTTTGGAAAGGGAAAGCCAGCAGGTACAAATGTCTCATCTCGACGCAAGGAGCTCTCCCATCTGCATCTGAGCTTTTACAATATTGCTAAAGCGGAAAACTAACTCTTGAGCAAGCTGCAAAGCAGCTTGAGCAACAGTCATGTCAAAATCCCACATCACCATTGCACCCGTGCGAGATGGGAAAGGCAAGGACGTACTTCCAGTTCCTTCCAGGTGAGGAGACAGAGGTGATCACACGCATGCAGTACATCAGTATTATAAAAGCTATTAGTAAGTTTACAGCATTCCAACTGCAAAGTGCTAATTCAGCGCCATACGTTATTACCCAGAGCTCCCGGACGTGAAAACAAGGCCGCTTGCACCCTTCGGAAACACATTGCAATGACTGTTCAGTTTCGCCGCTTTCACGCGGGGGCCGGTAAGAACACGCGGGCCT